CCTTATCTCCTCATATTCCTTGCCGTGAGTATGTGTGTGTGTGTGTGTGCGCGCGTGTTTGCACCACAATAGACAACGCACATGCGTCCTTCCTCTTCTCTCCTTCACTGTGTCCTGCTTCTTGGCCCCCCCCCCCCCTCCCCGCCCTCTCGTCCCTCTTCCATCCGTCTCTCTTTCCCTCCCCTCACATCAAAAGCCCCCGGGGAGTCACGCCCTGGTCCAGGTGAGAGTCCCACCCGGCAAGAAGGGTGATGGGGGTCTCTATTCCTTGATGGTCTTCCGCCTGCTTGCGAGGATGGCCGCAATGCGAGCTCGCCGGGCCTCTTGTGCGTCGACCTCAGCCGCGATGCTCAGCAGCTCCTTTTCGACACTGGGTTCAACATGCGGGGTGGCGTTCACCTCCGGGTCATGTTCAGGAGCAGGAGTCGCGATGTCCTCCTCGGCCGGCGGGTGGACAGACGCAACGGTGGCCGCCAGTTGTGGCTGTTCTCTGGCACGAGCCGACGCGGGGCCTACCCACGCCTCGTCACGAGCCACCGCCAGCAGATACTGATAGAAGCCATAGAACCGGTCCCACGGCTGGTCAAAGGATTCCATGACGTCCGGGGAGTTGGGCAATTCCGAGGATGCAGCCTCGAGCGGCGGGCTCGAGGGCAAGCGCGGCCGACACTCCGAGCACCAGTCCTTCAAAAGCCGCACATCGGCCGATGAGGCGGGCCATTTGCTGACTTCCCCCGGCGCAATGGGCTGCCAAAAGATGTCAACCTCCGGTGGCCCGGGCTTGGCGGCCACAGATGGCACTTCCTGGTGCACTCGTTGCCCTATGGAGCGCCGCAGGGAGGCCCCAGACTCGGCATCTGGGACCAAACTGCTCGAGTGGATAAAGGCAGTTAGAGAGCGAGAGGGAGAGGCAGAGAGGGAGAGAGAGAGAGGGGGAAAAATGTCCTCATGAATCTATCGAGCCCGAAGGGGGTCGGCACATGAAAGGGAGGGGAGGCGGGAGCATATACGCGATATGCACATCTCATATGTATGTGCACAAAGACGAGATATGCTTTCACACGTGTGCATGCGGGTGTATGTGTGGAGGCAAAGGTGCAGAGAAAGGTGGGAGGGATGGGGCAAAAGAGGGCCGGCTCGCACATGGGTAAGCCATTGGGGAGGGCGTGGGGAATGTGCGTCAAGTGCTGGGCCAGAGTCTGTCGACGGTCCATCAGAGCCTGGGCGGCCGTGTGATAGCGGTCGCGACAGTCGCACGAAGGCGGCCGCATGGCCGGGCAAACAGCAGGGTGAACCATGCGCCGGCAAAGCTTGTCCAAATCGCGTCCTGCATCGTAAGCCTCCAACAAGAGACAGAACACCGGATGCAGCGGGGCACCTGGCGCAAGGAAGGCAAACAGATCATTGCCCTGCTGTTTCGAGAGGATGGTTTGCTGGGCCCCCGGGCGCCGAGCAGCGGGAAGACCGCCGACGAAGCGCGCTGTCTTCAGGAGGATGCCCATCTGCTTGTCAGAGGCAACCTGAGCATGATCAAAGGTGGCCCAGAGACCCCTGCAACGGTGAGTATTCCGAAGGAAGGCAGGGAGAAGAAGGCAACGGGGCGGGGGAGAACAAGCAGGAGAGGGAGCGAGCGAGGGAGGGCAAGGAGGTGAAAGCGCGCACCTGGCCGCATTCCGGGATAGCGTTTAGCATGCTAGCCCCGGCAGCAACATCCCGGCGCAGAGCCTCTCGAGCTGCCCGTCGGTCGCGCGCATCATCCCGCCGACGCTTGCGGACCATTTCTGCGGCGAAAAAGCAGCACACACAAATTAGCAAGGAGGAGAGATGAGGGGGGGGGGGGGGGGCGAAAAAAAAGGACAGCCCCATCGGCCCACGGGCAAATCCAACGACATACCATTCAGAAAGACCGAATGATCATGGCGCGCATCGAGGAGCGGCTGAAAGCGCATGACGTCGATGAACATCCCAAGACGGTGGCAACGCCGTTCCAGGGCAGTGGTGTGTCTCGGCGGGGAGGGTGATGGCCTGGTGGCTGGGCCGGGGCTCGCAACATTGGCTTGGGTGGTCTTCGCACCCCGGACGGGCATCTTGCCAGGTCGGCTGGCGACAGAGGGGGGTGGCTTGTCTTCCTCGTCTGAGCTGGAGTCCGAGTGGGCGTAGGCCGAAAAGAGATTCGCCAGAGCCCCCACAGGCGCAAGTGCGGGCCCTGAAGATGGCACATCCTGCTTCGAAGGGGGAGACTGCTCCGCGGACCAGGTGTACTCGTCTTCCGAATCGGAGGAGGCTGGCCAGTCGGACAGGGTGTCCAGCTCCTCCGGCAGCCGGCCATAGATGACATCATGGACTTGCCCATGGTCGTGCTCAGTCTCGGATTCCACATCCCCCGGCGCGAGGTAGTCCTGTGGGCGGAATCGCGCTCGGAGAATCGTCCCCTCTGACGCGGGGCCCTTTGGAGAGGTTTCAGCCGGGAAGGTGCGCTCATCAAGCAGATGGTGGACATCGAAGCTGGAGACAGACCCGCCCCCAGCCAACCAGGCCAGAAATACGTCAGTCGGGAGCCCTTCCATGATCCCGATCTTCTATTCCTTCCCCTCATCCCCCCCCCCCCCCTATTTCCATATCTTCGAAGTGGCTTTCAGGGAGAGCGTACGCACCGGTCGAAGGCCATCCGAGGAGTCGACGCGGGGAGAAAGTCCGGACGCCAGGGGACCAATAGAGCTCCTGCATCGATGGCATCGGCCGCTGCATCATTTCTCAGGAGGACTGCCGCCTGGCCGCGCACCAGGAACGGGTTGTCCAAGGCGCGAAAGCGGTCAGCGATGGTGGCAACCTCCGGCGGTGAGAGAGGGGATGTCGGGTCGACTGGTGCCGAAGGAGGACTGGAGGTCATTCCGTCATCCGATGCGAGCGTCTGTTCCAGCGGGTTGATCATGCGCAGGCGCTTGGTCGGTGGTTGGGCCGGGCTTTCCTCTGGTGAGGAGGGCATCTCAGGCGTGTGCGCGGCTGCGCATGCAGTCAAGGAGAAAAAAGGGGGCCACAGTCAGGAGGGAGGGAGGATATGAGCATGGGGCCAGGTTCTCTGCGCACCATCCAGCATGCATGGGTCTCTTGTGTCTGGATGTTTCCTCGTGCTCTGACAAGCGGAGAGCTACCCGTCGGCTTGCTACTGCTGGCCAGGGGGGGGGGGGGGG